TTGGAGTGCACTCTGGGTGCGCCTTTCCTGAACGTAATTAGGGTGTTGCGCTAAATGTCAACGCCAAACCTGGTAAAAACCGCGGGGCGTTTTTCAACACAGTCCCTGAGTGGGGTAATAGGGAACTTGCACATTAAATTAAATATGAAATAAATAATAAAATACAATAACAATCATCCTAATAAATGATGCAATTAGGAAAAGAATATAATATCTTATCTCTGGTTTCCAAAATCTTCAATTGAAAATACCAAATAATTCGAAATTCTTGACGAGATCAAAAACGTATTTCTATGGGTCCTGACGTCACAAGGCAGTAATATAATAATCGGTTCGCACCGCTGCCACGCCATGTGCTGCTGGTGTTGTCAATGTCAAATCTATCATAAACGGCATACATAACAACATAACCATAATCTAAATCTACCTGCTCGAAGGTCACTGTCAACCAAGGACTGTGAACGGAATTTTGTTGCCGAGTGACGTCACACTAATCGGTCGTTTCAAATGGCGATGTTTCGAGCGTAACTTCAAATATTTATAAAAAATTAACGGCTGATTTTTAATGCTTGATATTTGGCATGACTATGTCTTTAGTGTAGTACAACACATTTTTGAAATAAAAAAAAAATTTGCAAGTTCCCTATTTGGGCGCATTCTGGGCACGTCCTCTCGATTTCTGAACGATTCCGGCGTAACGCTCCAAGTAAGCACCTGTTAATTTATGAACGGTTAAGAGTTACTCTAGGGTCACTCTCACACCCAGAGTGCTATTTCTGAACGCAACCCTGAATGACCACAAGAGTACGCTGTTGAAATCGGAACGACAAATGACAGTAAAATCAGCACAGTAAATTCAGTACTGGCAGTTGATATCGGAACATAGCCTATATCTCATGAAGAAGCATGAAGCAATAAGCGGGGAAAGCCCTGGGAGTTTTTGCATGCTATTTCAGACCAGACAATAAATCGAAAACGTATAGGTACCAATTTTCAGCTGGTTATGAAAAATTTTGTGTTAACACTCCTACTAATAATATTGGGCTTACTTTTACAACTACATGAAAACCAAAGACAAGCCAAAGAGAAAAAGAAATGAAAGAAAAAGACCGGCTTGCAGCACTTCTACCTACAACGACAAGAAGACGGAAGACATAAAGAAAAACAAGAAGAACAGGACCGGCTTCAGGAAAATTTTAAATTTTAATGAGAATTTATCCAAACCGTAATATCTGAGGAAAGAACCAGACTAATGTTTGCCCAGCGACTCTGTGTCTACGGGGCAACGGTAAGGGGAATGCAGTTGTAAAAAAAAAATGGCTGATTTCATTCATAAAATACCCAGCTGCGTGCGGAACTTTTTGGAAATGTTATCGTATTGCAACTTGTACACGAAAATCAACAATGACCAAACCGCCGCCACTGGATATTTCAATATAAATCGATATTCCAAGATGGAAGGATAAAATGACAAGTAGCGAGACGTAAGGTGACGTTAGCCCACTGACAATTGCATGGTTGCCCCTGGCAATGGCAATCCTGCCAAAAACTCCACCAATCAGGTTCATCCAGGCCGGATCCTTGCCAAATTGTCAAAAGCTGATGGATTCTTTAGGAAATGTTTATTTTTTACAATAAACAAAATTGAAGAAATCAGTTATTAAAATAAGCATAGATCTAACAACCACGTTGAAATATTTAGCGTTTTATTGTTATCTACATTTTGTTATTGAAAAATGGATTTTCAAATGAATTATACTTCATGCCTAGTATTCTCGCTTTTTTTATAATTAAAGGTGGCAACATCGTACATTTACGTCCGAATTCCTTTCGTAGACTCCAGTGGCGGACCTAGGACCTTCGGGGCCCGACGCAAAAAAAAATTGGGGCCCTGTCATACTTTTTTTAAGTATTTTTCTTGTGGTATTGGAGGCATTAGCTAACGTCACACACATAACCTCACTTTCGAGGGGAGGTCAAAGAATGCGTTTGTTTGTTTCATGGTCGTTTCCATCAACTATTTCAGGGAAGCCATTTACGATAAGTATTCCTCAAACTGACATTTCTCCATGGAAAACTGTCATTTTAGAAATACTTATAAATAATTAGGCTTCCCGAAAGTATGTGGTTGGTGGAAACTGCCGTCGCAATGCCATGTTTTCCCCCTGTCGAAAGTAACGTTATTTGATTTGTGAAAAAAATTTACCGAAGAAAAGAAAGCGGACAAAAATTGACAGGTGCGTCAACTCCAACCCTTGACAGTAGGCACATCAATAAACCGGAAATGTCATTGGATTGGCTGCAAATGATTGAAACCCATTATCGCCACCTTCATAAAAGCAAACTTGACGAGGTTCACGATACAACCCGCTAATCACCATGTGTGTCCACCATTTTTCTGCTCTTCGCCCCTCAGACGTCGCCGGCAAAATTAAATTTGACAAACTTTAAAAACATAGATGAAACATATGAAAACAAGTTAAATGAAAAAAAATAATTATTTGCAAAAATTAAGGAATTTTTATTTAAACCAAAAGAAATACAACATGTGATGTAGTAGTTTGTCTCCACATACAAAAATATCAAAAAAGTAAAATATGCGTCCCACGCACAACAGGCTTCCCAAAGGTATACAACGTTGCCGTAACTTTCAAAATTTAATTTCATATTTTTTTTTATTCATGAGTTGAATTTCATGTTCATGAATTTTTTATTATTATTATTATTATTATTTGTTGTTGTGTGGGGCCCCTAAGCTCTGGGGGCCCGACGCAGAGTGCGTCCTTTGCTTCATGTTAGATCCGCCACTGGTAGACTCAGATCCGCTGGGCAAACAATCAGTGTTGTTCAAAGGGCACAATTGTGCCAAAAGTGGCACTTTTCGCCCGCAAAATGCACAGTGTCACCACTTTGAAAAATTTGGCACGATTCACATCTATTAGATAATATTATCCTTTTTCAAATTTTTAAGATGAGAAAGACTGCTGGAGCAGGGTTTTTTGTTTATTTCTATTCTATTGTATTATTTGTCAATTTATTTCTGTGCTAGTGACCTCAGTCTTGACCTGTGAGAATTGTGGTGGATCTGTCAGGTCCAATGAGTAGAACCGAATTTTCGCGACGAACCATAGTTCGTCTCGTTTGAACGCTGGCTAGAAGCTGCTGCCATAATTCTATTCAACTATGTTTAATATGACGTCATGAGTTTCCCGCGAAAGCGTTTGTGTTCATGAAATTATGGAAGTAGTTCGTCGCGAAAATTCGGTTCATGTCATGTCATTGGATCGGTCGATGTGAGTGTGACTAGTGACAGTGACGTGACTGTCAATTGTCATTATACTGAATTTATTATATCAAATATGTTACATCTTTCTCCTTTTAATCATGTAATAAAAAGAAATGGGTGAAAAGTCAAAAAATCCTCTCCCATCACTTTTTATTAGGTGGCTCTATTTGGCACTATTTGAGTGTTGCTGCAGGCACATACGAAAATTCCCCAAGAACAACCCTGCAAACAATAGAGACTAGAACTTACAAGATAACAAATTCAAGAATATGGAATGGAAGAATTAAAGGTAGGTATGTAAAGAAGTTCGCGAGGAAGTTGGGAGTGTTCGTCGTTCGTCACAAAGTTCATAAGAAAATTGGGAATGTTCGTCCGGAAGTTATATTAATGATATTTCGTCAAGAAAAACATTGGAATGTAGCTTGAGACCAGGAATTATATCTCAGCATCGCCTGCACCCGGTTTTAACGTTGATAGCCACCACCACCGAGCAGATAGTCTGTGTCTATTCTAAACTCACGACCTCTGAGGAAGACTCAAGGAACGACTATAAATTCGGCCCTTATATCTCTACTCAATCACTGAATTTTTTGCAAACCTCGCACCCCATAACAAGGTCAACAAGGATCTTAAAATCTTAATCCTGCGTGACTTAACATAACTGCCCGCTGTTGCCACATTCCACGTTCGTTTTTTGTTAAATGCGAGGTGTTGTAGAGCACTACCAAATCACTGATGCCTTTACGGGCAATTAAAACTATTAATTACCTATTACCTACTCAAAAACTTCAAGAAGACCGCCATAACATCAACAAGCGACGCGAAAGCGTTGCCACTCAATGCATTACAAGTTGAAGTGAAGTTTGATTCGCACAAAGCCATTGGCTTTTGGATGCTAGTTTTCATGTCACAGCCAGTGAATTTATCGAGACTGTTGCATGAACCACCTATTTTACATTGATTGAGTCTCAAGAGAATGGGCCTGTGAATCCCTCACATTTTAATAACAGACGCAATTTAAGGCTACATGTGCATGATTTACGTTCACCTATCCTTTATTGGACATACATTAAAAACTCGTTTATTTATACGGTCGTGAAAATGTACCATCACTTGCCCATCATGAATATTCATTATAGTGCTGAATACAAAATCGTCGTAAGTGCAGAGGCTTCTTTCTAGATGAGGCACTGTACTTTACTGATGATTTTTTTTGTGTATCAATTTTATATTAGATTATATTGCTTTTGTGTGTCATGACTACTGTAAGTATTTATTAGTTTTTTTTTACAAGACGTATTTCAAACAATGCATAGACTTTTTAACCCCCAAAGCATTGACCATTTGGTTCCAGATTTGAACTATCCAAGTAGGTAATTGTGTATATTATGAAATTTCCAAAATGAAAGAAATTAGAAAATAATCCAAATCTGATCCAAACTAACCAAAAAACTTTTCATACATTAGATTTTTGCCTTTCGGACCCCTACAAAAGCTTAAGTAGCCAAACTGTGGAAAGTGTAAACTAAGCAGTATCTGGAAGGACAAAACTTGCAGATGCGTAACAAAACTTTCTACTCCTCAGCTAACATGTTAGAGAGCTTGAACTTTTGGCTGCTCAAATACTCTCATTTATTTCTTCCCAAAAATATTTAATAGAAAAATAAAATAGAAAACATATTTCATCTTTATTGAATTTAATTGTAAAAAGTATACAAAAAAAAATCATTCCAATTAATTCAAAAACCTACTCTTACAGTTTCTTAAACTAAATTCTCTTAGTATTTGAGCATGTATTAATCAATAATTCCAAACATGGGCTCTACAAAAATAAATTATAGCTTGTTTTCTGTTAATATAACATAAAGTGTCTTTCTGGAAACCAAACATTTTCAGTTTTTTCAACTAATATGCGACTCCCATTTTGGTTGCACCATCCTAAACTAATTTATTCTAAATAACAATTAGGCACTCACCAAAACATTTTGTATCAAAATGATTGTATAAAACTTGAATTTTATATCGTACGGGTGGTAACAAGTTTTAGGTAAGATACATTGCCTTCATCACAGTCAAACGATTTAAAGTTGCACATCAATGTTATAAGGACCCCTCATTTATCATAAAACATAATCATTAAATTTCAAAATAATAATACCTTTTTTATTTAAATGAAAGTTTTTTTCCTAAAAATAATTATTTGAATATCACACTTCCTCATGATGATTCTGTGACAATATTTTTGTCCACCAAACTATCGCTCAAATCCACAAAAACATCCAAATTTATCATTTTTTTCATCTCCTCAGCTGTTGTTGTATACTCCAAGCTATCCATCTCGAAAGTGGTCATTAAATTAGTCAAGTCAACTTGTGGTTCTTCCATTCCATAATGACTATAACCTTCTTCTTCTTCTTCTTCTTCTTCTTGGTAAATTATGGCTCTAGAATTGAACAGAGATGCAGTAGACTTTTTAGCGCAAGGCATTTTTGCAGAACTACTGGTTTGAGCTACACTGGTAGACGGTTCATCTGCTTTAATTACAGGAATGGCAGAATTACAAATATCAGAAATAACTTTATTACATTCTCTGGTGATGATACTGGATATCGTATAATTTGCGTCGAAACCTTCGTGTACTTTATCAGTATGCTTTATACAATCATAGTGGTTTCTAAAACTCTGCTGGCAAATGTTACATAGAGCCGGTCTGAAATGGCCTTTAACATGCCCTTTAATAGATTGTGCAGTCTTGGCAATCGAAACGAAACTACATAAACTGCATGAAAATTTACTTAAGTCTTTGCTTGTTCGTTTCACAGTATCAAAGGCAAATTTATTTTTAGTTATAACGCATTCATAACTTGGCCTTGCCAATGGGTGAAACTTGCTACAATGCATTTTCACTGCAATTATTGGACAGAACTTTCTCTGACAAGAGAGACATTTGTACTTGTAGGGAACAAATACTGACTCCTGATGATGGGCCAAAAAATGTTTCCTTAATTTCAATTCTGTAAATACTTCATCACATATATTACAAGCCATTTTTGACCCTAAGTCCTTTTCAGAATTGGAATTACTCAAAATATGGAATTTATTAATAATTATTTGATGACTCTCTTCCAAGTGCTGTTTTATGTTTTTCTCAGAATACCCATAGTAGGCACAAATTTCACAAGCGAATACTTCATCAAAATCATAAGACGTTGCTTCACTATTTACTGAATTTTCATCCAAATTAGTTTTCAGTTTCTTCACCTTAGGAGTATTAATCACCATTCCACTAGTAATTGGTTTTTTCTCTTTGTTCTCCTCTAATCGGGGCTTCTTTCGATCCGATACACTATAGGTTTTCAAGACTTTCTTCTTAGTATTTTCAATGCAAGCCAGTGCTTGAGCTAAAGTAGGACCTTTGGGTTCTGTATGTAACACTAGGCCAGGATGTTCTATGCTGTGATGATGTCTCAAATCATAAACAGTGTAGAATTCGTGCGGGCAATGTTGACATTGATATGGCATCAGGACCCAATGGTAAAACATGTGCTCGTTGCATTCCGATACTGATATGAAACTGAAATAGAAATAAAATATATGAATATGTTGTGTTGGTTAGTATATAAATTAGAGAATTATTTAATTATAATCAATAATAAATTAAATTAATAAACCACCTAAAAACATGTGCCAGTACAGTGGCGTCGCGTCGGGGGGGGGGGGGGGGTAATGGGGGTAATTACCCCCTCCCAGGATCCAAAATTCAAGGGAAAAATCACGATGCCCAAAAGAAAATACATAATAATATTGAAGAAAATACATTTTTTTCTCCAAACGTCAAAAAAACGCCACTTTGTTAACCTCTGGCAAGATGTCAGAAAAATTTAATTTCTATGCTGGTAGGCAAATCCATCAGGTTAACACCTGTCGAGGTGGTAGAAATTTAATTTCTATGCTGCTTGGCAACCCCAGCGGCAGCAAAAGTACTTTTAGTGCCGCTCGTACTTTTACTGCCGCTCAACCATCCAGTTACCCCCGAGCTTACTTCATTCGTTTGGAGAAAAAATAACGTGTTGCATACGGAGTAGAAGCACTTTTTTGTGCGTCAGCAGTATTGCAAGCCTCACTACGTTCGGCTCGCAAACCTACTGCTTCAGCACAAAAAAGTAAAGCTTCTACTCCTAATACAACAATATACTATTTTTTGTTTTATTTTCCTCACAAAGGAAATTATTGTTCTGGAAAAGTGAATTTCGCCTGCGGCGCGTTAGCGGGGGGTTGCATCTTCCCATTACCCCCCCTAGACTGCAAGTCACGCGTCGCCACTGTGCCAGTAACAACATCGATGTTAGGCAGTTGAGAAGATTTTTAAGAAAAATTGAAGGTTAGGAAGAACTCAACTCAACTCAAAATTCTTTATTTAAATAATTACATACAAAGTACAATTTCAGGTAGGGGGGTTAGTCCCCCCTCAAACTAAAAACATACAACATTAACTTAATCTAGGACATTGACCTAAAACTAAAACTCCGGTGGGGCGCAGCACACCGTGCCCCAGACACGCCTAGCGCGCTGCGAGGGCATGTTTCAGCACGGTCTGGTGTTGTGACCAACAAGCCGCTGTCCTATCCTTGCTTGAGTGTCAAGCCTTGACACTTTTACGCAGCGTTACCTGGTCTCCCTTAGACGTTGTTTTTGACCCTAGGGTCACTAACAAATACCATGGTATGGTAAGCATTGGGCCATTACACTGGCCTACCAGATGATGTGGGTGGATGCTGGAGTATGGAGTGCAGAGCGCGCAGCGCCCGTCGTGTGGGGAAAAAAGAGTTAAAAACCCCAGTTTCATTAACTTAATAATTAAAAAAACAAAAAACAAAAAAGTTGTGCCCTTATGGGCGGTTTGGTCCAGGACGCGCTCTCAACAGCAAAAGCTGAGCTCTAGGGGTAGGTGTTTTAAGGGTTGTCAGAGACTGAGGATTGGGTGCAAGAATTTACCGGGATTGGGATTTATCAGCTAAATTGGACAATTTTTGCCTATAATTGTTGGTCGAATTGGGGGTCTTTTGATGGTAATTAAACAAGTACCTACCTAGGTTTCCTCCTAGTCAGCGAAAGAGGAGTTTGCTACACTAGTTCGCTGGCCAGTGGGAATTTTCCGAAGAACTGAGAATTGAAATTAAACCTTATGACTGGATTTGCCAGAGTCTCCTGCTTAGACTAAGGCTATAAATCTCTCTTGTCTAATTTTGTCTCGGCGATTGGATTTTAGCTGTGCATGGATGATGGGTTGTTTTATTTAATTTAGGTGTGTGGTTTGCAGGTTTGGGATGGGGAAGGTTTCATGGGGGTTCAAAATAGATGGGTAAATTCTTGTAAGGCGGCCCGTGAACTATGGGGTTGTCTGGATCATATCTTGTTGCAGTTAGGCTGCGTGTGAGAGGGGATCCTTGAATTTGATGGCGGTACCTGGACTCCGACAGGACTCCCCTCAGAATGCGGTTTTGGAACCGCTGAAGGCGGTTCGTTTGTGTAGTTGAGATGATTTTCCAGACAGGGGCTCCATAGGTTAACATTGATTGGTCTCAAGACCTGTTTGTAAATCAACAACTTATTACCTGGCGAAAGGGTGGAGTTGGTACCGATGAGGGAGTAAAGTTTTTGCTGCGCACTGAAGGTGCGAGCTAGAGCGTGGGAAACGTGCAGGTTAGCTACTGACAGACGGGTCTGCGGGGCGTTGTAGCAGCCATTGATCAGGACGCCATTCGCAAGCTGAATGCACACGTGCTCAATGGCACTGTGCCACTGTGGCATATGCGATTGAGTTCCTGATCAATATCGCCACACCACCAGCGCGGCGGCCGGCTCTGTCAGAGCGTTCGCAGGAGAAGAAGTTTTTCACCACGAGACGATCTTCATCCCCCAGCCATGTTTCCACGACTACAGCGATGTCGATCCTCTCGTAATGAAGAAAATGGATGAGCTCACCTAGTTTACCGTTGAGGCTATTAGCGTTCCACTGTGCGATCCTGAACGCGACCTACATTAAATTTGTTTATGTCGGTCAAGAAAAATTGACGGCTGGCGTTAAACAGCTCCATATCGCTGTTGCATCTCTCTAGCATACCTATGTAATGGTCCAATGCTCGCATCATAACATACATAATTATCAGCGAATCCAGGCGGGCAAACTTGGCCTGGAACGCTGCGAAAGTATCACCCAGATTAACAGGTGCTTGCTGGGCTGACCGTGCTGTAGGCTGAGCACTTTGTTGATTATTTGATTGACTTTCGCGCACATTGTTTACGGTCGTGGTATCCCGCACCCCACGTTCGCGAATTAAACCTCGCGGAAAATCACGATTGTACTCCAACGATGGCTGCCTCAGTGGTAGCTGCGCTGGTGGCTGGACCTCCCTTCGACTCCAGGCTGGGTAACGGGGCAGGCCCTGTAGGCTTGGGAGCCGATCTCTCATTTAGCATACGCTTTTTAAATTTATACACCAGACAATTTGTTGACATTGCCCGGTGCGCACCCTTGCAGTTTGCGCACACTGACTGCTTATCACGATTTGGGCCACAGAACACATATCCTCACGGATAGAGAAAAAAGCTTAATGGAGGGCGGGGCCTAAAAAAATAGCTTCGGATCGCATCCGCTTGGGGACGCTGGAGTGAAACAGAACGACAGAACTACAGGTGCGGAATGAACGCCACCAGAAAATATGCCACAGTTTACTTTGGCAGTTTACCTATTACCTATGTTTAAAAAAAATATGTCAAAATAGTTCTGAATGAGAATTCGTCTTGGTGTTGGTGTGCATTTTAAATCCAGATAAATGTTTCCTAAATTTAAAAAAAAATCAGATTTTACACAAAACACAAAAAGTTTGGCCGTTTTTGCTCTACTCGGAAGAAAAATCCGTCAATATTCAATAATGAGGAAAAAGGTTTGTTTGGACTTTAGTTCAAAATCAGTTCTAAATTGGACTGCGCTTGCGCATTTGGTCATATCAAACCTATGTAACAAAATGCGGAAGCATAGTTCAATTCTGAACTGAAGTCCGAACAAATCTAATATTAAAAATATTGACATTGAAAGCTGATTTGATTACAGAAACCTTTATTATAAATAGTTCGGTTCGCATCCACCGCGCCGTGACGGCGCATTGTTCCCCAAAATTTTATTAGGCAGTTTGCCTTCTATCCGTAAGGATATGTATTCTGTGATTTGGGCAGTCAGCAGTCATGTGCGCTTCTGCGCATTTTGAGCATCGGCTCGCCCTATGACATCCCGTCATAGTGTGCCCCCATATCTGACACCGGACACACTGCGAGATGTCTTTCCTATTTCTCCTGTCTTCCCATTGTACCCTGGATGCGAACACTGTACGTACATTGCTTCTGAGCTTTGTCAGTGTCCATTCTGATGACGTGACAACCAGGTTCAATGGGTTGTCCTGCCCCGTATTCTTCATCTGGTAGACATCTTTGATCCGGTACCAGGTATTCTTTTATTTCTTGGGTGTTGTAATTACCCTTCATCCCCCTTCAGCTGCCTTTTTGTTAACCCTCTGGTCGGGGCTTGTCTCCATAGGCCTTTTATTTTGGTTCTGTTTGGCCGATTTGGGCACTACGTAAAGGTGGTTACGTCGTATGTGGGAAATGACCAAATCGACCACGGCATATCCCTCCTCTTCTGTATGTGAATCCAAGTATTTATAATGCTTGGTGCATTCTTTGCATCCTCCTGCATGTATAAGAAGTCTTGTCTTGACTTTTTCTATGCCCCTTATGGACTCTCTGGATGCTGTTGACGAGAAGCTCCTAACACTCTCATTATCGGAGTCGTCTCCCATCGTGGGAGCCCCTCCTGGGGTATCCCCGTTTTTTAGGACGTCCCCTAACTTGTTTGGGAGCGTCCACTGCGTTTGGACGTTCCCTTACTTGGGAAAAAGCAAAAGTATCTGTCGTGCCCTTACTTTCGACAGTACCTTTCCTTTTGTCGTACCCTCACTTTTTTATCAAATCAGATTTTTGTTCAAATTTTTCTAAGTCCAATTTAGTCACATAAAAAAGCCCTAAATTATATCTTTCAGAATCATTACAAAAATTAATTAATTATTAGCGTCCAGGTACTCCTAGGTCATCATCACCAACGTATCGCCAGTGGGTCACCAGAAACATAGACAATATGTACTATGATCTATACCAGACGCAGCGTCATTAAAAGTTTAATTACCAAATCTTTCGATGTGAAGCACACAACAGATTTTTGTCAGCGATTTCTTCTTTTCAATTAATTACCTATTGGTCATGACGTTTGTTAAAGTTGTATTTTTTTGTATATAAATAGTTGTTAATTATTTAATAAAAATCAGTATTAATCCAACAGTGGTTCTCACTCCCCAGTTACTAAACTACCCAGGTGTACTAACCCAACTTAGGTTAGAAAACTCTATGGCACGAAAATTGATAGCATATTTTATGTAAGTGCAATTTGTAAATGTCTGATTTGGACGATTTAATTAACTCTTTTGAAAGTATTGAGATAAACGATAATAGCTCTGACTCCGC